GCCTCAGCCTCCAAAGTAGCTGGGATTACAGGTGCCCTCCACCATATCCAGCTAATTTTTTGTATTTTTAGTAGAAATGGGGTTTCACTATGTTGGCCAGGCTGGTCTTGAACTCCTGATCTCAGATGATCTGCTCTCCTTGACCTCCCAAAATGCTGGGATTATAGGCATGAGCTACTGCACCCAGCCGTGCTGTGCAGAAGCTTTCTATATTGTCTTCTTATAATAGGTGGGAAGAAATTTTTGGAGATGATAGATATTCTTAAGGTATAGATTTGGGGTAGTTTTATGGATATATACTTATCTCCAAATTAATCATGTTGAATACTATAAATATGTACAGCTTTTTGTATGTCAATTATACCTCCATAACATGGTTAAAAATATCACTTGCTTTTTCATTGATACAGAATAAATTTTATATTCTGACATGCAGCAAAAATTAGTAATTCTGTACTTCATTCTTCATTCTGTTTACACTTCCATTTCAAAAGCCTAATTATATGTTTAATAAAGGTCTTTTGCCACTGTAAATGACAAGTATATGACTTTTTATTCATAATACCTAGAATAAAATATTTTGCAATAACATATCTATTCAAAGTGAAAGATGGTTTTATAAGTTTGCTACTTGCTCTTCCATGTTAGGGTCAACTAAGATATTTATCTGGACATCTATGTAAGCTTAATAATAAACCATGTAATACAATTAATTTATTATTATTTTTAGAAATGAAAGAAAAAGTAAATGACCCTTAAAGTGTGGCCAACCTATAGGTTTAGATGGTGAGTGGAAAATTTGGGCCACTTCTTTTAAAAATAATCATGAATCAGACTGCAAATCCTAGATCCCAAGGGGTATAAAGCCAAGAACCAGAGAAAAACAGAATTATCTTTGTGGAGCAGAAGAGGGCCTTAATTAGAAAGCTAGCAACATGTGTCTTCTGATATTTTAGTATGCTATGTACCAGTAATTACCAGATTCCATCTTTGTCCCTCTTTTGAAATGCAGGTGTTCTCACAATTACTGCATCAATATATTGACATTGCATGTTGACAGTGTTGGGGGCAGATGACTTATTTGTTAAATTAACAGCTATTTAGAGAAAGAGGAACCATATTCCAGGAACTACTGCAACTATGAAGCCCCATCTACATCTGACTATAATCTACATGATGAAATTCTAGACAAATGCCATAATGGGGTGAGACCTAGACATTTGAGGGACATATGAGTTATGCTGCACATGAAACTAATATGAATTGGTGTAGGCAAAGAGAAAAATACAAAAGGTTGAATTTTACAAGAAGGCCGTTACAGTATCTTTCAATTGTTATATGATATTCTACAATACAGCAATTAGGAAATGAATCTATTTCCCAACCTCTGAAATTTTAGCAGATCCTTTGACTGCCATGAGCAATGGATAAGTTCTGGGTGTAGATGGTATCTGATCCAGTAGGCTCTGTTTTTCACTTATTGAAGCCCCGAAATACCATGTAAGAAGACCTGGCTGATTTAATGGAGAGAGCGAGCCCACAGGGAGCAGCACTAAGGCACCACGATTGTCAGTGAAGGAGCCATACCAGTTGTCCATCCTGCTGGACACTCAGGAGACTCAAGCTCCAACAGCTTTTTGTCCTGTAGCATTTGAGAGACATCAAGTGAGAATAGTAAGCTGAGTCCAGTGAACCCCAAACTCTACATTTTGGGATTGTTTTTAATTCAGCAAAAGATCACCATAATAATGGAGAACAGGAATCATACTTTAGATAATATATTAAACCACTGAAGGTGAAAGAACATATCCTAAATAATATTCAGAAATGACGTTGAGGAGATTTCACTGTTGGGAACCCAGCCGTGTGAATACTTGCAAAGCGAGTTTCACAAGACAGGTGGTCGAGCTCAGACACAGGGACGCCTGATAGAGGGAAGTTGAGATAAAGTTGTCAGGAGCAACTGAGTCAGGAGCAGAAAAAGGAGAATCTTGTTAAAAGATAATCAGGTGATCGGAACCAGGAAACCCTGCAGTCGCAAGGAACAATGTCTTGATGTAAATGTTTTTTTATGAGCACCAGGAATAACCATCACCTTTTACGACCACTGATTGTGTGTCTCTGCCATCCTTATTGTATAGAGTATGTGAATTAGTGATCTGTTTTTTTCTCTTACACTGATGTAAACCAGAGCCTGAAAAATGGATATAATCGAAGCCTTTGAGAAATAAAGTTGCTGTTGAAGCACTGACTTCTCAGCCCTCCTGACCCCACCTGTCTGTCTCCTATTTTTCCTGCGCACGCCCCACTCAGGTTTGAATCCTCTTGCTGGCCGAGAGTTCCTGCCAGATTCCACTGAAAAGGATTCTCAATGGAGAGGAATGTCAGCTGGAAAACAAAATGCTTCTTCTCTCCTTCCCTCCCAACTCTCTCTCCTTCCTTCTCTCCCTGCCTACATCCATTTATTTTATTTGTCTCTTTTCTTATCATCCTATTCTCTTTTTTTAGTGGATGGGCTGAATGTTGAAATGTATACATTGTTTTTTGATCCTTGTTGCCTTATCAGAGAGGCTATTTGAAATGGGACTCATTTATTCAATAAATATTTATTAAACTTACGTATAATGAAAAATCCAGCTTCCTTGAAAATAAGAATAAATAAAACATTCATTTTCATATAGAAAATGATCATGCTAAAAAGGCAATTCTCATACTGTGTGACATGTTTCGTGACTATGGAAAGACTGGGTGGTACTGGAGACCAATCAAAAGGAAACTGATACAGAGAGGAGAAAAAGAGGAGAGGTGAGATCAAGGAAGGCTGGCAGAAGGAAGTATTGCATAAGATGAGTTCTAAAAGTTGAATAAGAGAATGTGGAAGCAGCATTCTGAGATGGATCATTAATTTATTTGAGCAAATATATGTCTCTCAAAACTGGCAGACAAACTGATACGACTGATAGTGGTTTTGCATATCTATTATAAAATTGAATGTGTGTATCAAGTGTATGTACACATACACATTCTTGTGAATGTATGCATATCAGGTAAGGTGTATGAATGTCATAACTTCAAATATGATAGGATAAGAAAGTGAGAGACATAGGCAGAGAGGTAGAACAAACTAGCTATTTATAAACAAAATGAACGGAAGCATGTATTTGAAACAAATGTGTATATTTGTATATGTTTATGTAAATAAATATCTGTGTGTAGGCTTATTAATAAGATGGGTATGATTTACAGATATCTGTCTCTTGTTTTAGAAGTTGGTATTTAATAAAAACCCTTAAAGACAACCTAGGCAATACTATCCTGGGCATAGAAATGGGCAAATATTTTATGACAAAGATACCAAATCAATCACAACAAAACAAAAATTGAAAAGTTGGATCTATTTAAACTCAAGAGCTCCTGCACAGCAAAAGAAATTATCAACAGAGTAAACAGACAACCTACAGAATGGGAGAAAATATTTGCAAACCATGCATCTGACAAAGGTCTAATATCCAATATCTATAAGGAACTTAAATTTACAAGAAAAAAACCAAACAACTTGATTTAAAAGGCAGAATAGGACATGAACAGACACAATTCAAAAGCAGACATACATGTAGCCAAAAGAACGTAGAAAAAGGCTCAGTATTACTGATCATCAGGGAAATAAAAATCAAAACCACAATGAGATCCCATCTGACACCAGTCAGAATGGCTATTATTAAAAAGTTAAAAAATGACAAATGCTGGCCAGGTTCTGGAGAAAAGGGAACACTTACATGCTGTTGGTGGGAGTGTAAGGTAGTTTAACCATTGTGGAAAGCAGTATGGCAATCCCTCAAAAAGCTTAAAGCAGAGCTACCATTGAACCCAGCAATCCTCTTACTGGGTGTATACCCAAAGGAATATAAATCATGCTGCCATAAAGACACATGTAGGTAAATGTTCACCATAGCACTATTTACAATAGCAAAGACATGAAATCATTCTAACTGCCCATTAATGGTAGGTTGGATAAAGAAAATGTGGCACATATATACCATGGAATACTATGCAGCCACAAAACAGAATGATATCATGCTTTTGTGGAAACACGGATGGAGCTGGAGGCTGTTATCCATAGCAAACAAATGCAGGAACAGAAAACTAAATACCACATGCCCTCAATTCTAAGTGGGAGCTAAATGATAAGGGCTTATAAACACAAAGAAGGAAACAACAGACACTGGGGTCTACTTGAGGGTGGGTGGTGGAAGGAGGGAGAGAAGCAAAAAAGATAGCTATTGGATACTGACCCTACTACCTGGGTAATGAAATAATCTGTACAACAAACTCCCATGGCATGTGTTTTCCTATGTAACAAACCATCACATACACTCCTAAAATAAAAGTTTAAAAAAATAGCTTAAAAAATTTTTAATTTATAAAATGCCTACCTCACAGGTCCAATCTATTGCATATTACTAAGACGAGCTTTTTTTTCTTTTTGAAAATCCTTTAGACAGAGAAAAGAAGCTCATTATTTATTTATATGTTCATGGATATTTATATTTATTTCAGTTAGGGTAATTTTTCATCATATGTTATTTTGTGTTGGCAAAATGGCTAAAACCTAAATACAGAAGAGAAAAAAAAAGAAGTATAAATCTTTGTATAGTTATTTTTGCCCATACATCATGAGAGTATGTGCCTAAATTGCATTTTAACCTCATTTGAAATCTGTTTTTGATGTGTTGTAATTAGGTAAGTATCAATAAAATATTCTCCTATTTTATTACTCGCATAAGTGTCTGGGTAGAGTTCTGGCTATGAAGGTTTTATAACTGCATCCTGATTGAAAGACCATGTCCCAGCTATATAATCATGCTAGCTAAGTGTTTCCCCTGCTTTAGTTATTCCTTTCCTATGAACCCACAAACCTGGCAGGAATTAACTCTACCTCCAACCTAACTTCCAGCTTAACATCTCCAGGTATCCTGTCCACCAATGGTATAAACTTTAGCCTCTATAACAGTGAAATATCCGCAGTACCCACTCCTGCATTTGTTTGGTCCTGGCCCCATAAATTAAGGGGTTAACCATGGGAGGAATAAGGAAGTAGAGATTGTCAATGATGATCTGCATATAGGGAGCCATATGGTAGCCTAAAATCTGGGCCAGAACAGAGAAGACAACCGGACAATAAAAAAGACCAATGACACAAAGATGAGAGCCACACGTGCTGAGAGCTTTGCCCCGTGCATCCCAAGACGGTATCCGAAAGACAGCATGAAGGATAAGTCCATATGACAGAATGACAAAAAATAGGTCAAATCCCACAGATGCCACAATAACCATGAGTCCATAGACAATGTGGTCAGAGATGTCTTCACAGGCTATCAGTACCACAGCCACGTATGCACAGTAGGAGTAAGGAATTATGGGGGTTTGGAAGCTTTGCAATCTTTTCGTCAGAACTGGGGCTGGGGTCAGCACTGCCACTGCTCTTGCCAGGATAGCCAGTGCCATCTTCACAAGCATGTTGTTAGCAAGGATGGTTGTATATCTTAGAGGGTACCAGATAGCCACAAATCTGTCAAAAGCCATGGCCAGGAGAATCCCAGATTCCATGACATAAAATGAAGGAATGAAAAACATCTGTGTGAGGCAGGCACTGAAACTGATTTCCTTGGCCTTCATCCAGAAGGTAGCCAGCATACGGGGCACTGTGACACTGACAAGACACAGGTCAACAATTGACAGCATGGCCAGGAGGAGAAACATGGGCTCATGAAGACTCTTCTCTATCCGGATGATACATAAGATGGTGACATTGCCAATGACTGTAATGAGAAATACCAAGAAAAAAGGCACAGAGTACAAGCCATGGAAAGATTCAAGGCCAGGAATTCCAGCCAGAGTAAACATCGAGGGCTGAGGAACGGAACTGTTGCAAGAGGACATCCCTAACCTGAGCTCCTCAATGTCTGATTCCTAGGGGGAAACATAAGGGAATATTTTGGAATCATTGCATCATTTACACCTATAAAATACTGGTCATTATAGTAGTTTACGGTGGTGAAACTCATGATTATTTTGTGTAAACTAATGATCAAATGAAGGCTTCAGCTACTTGTGGTGGAGGGGGCAATGATTCTATTTCCTCTGCAAAAGTGAGATGCAGTCTCAGGGATATATTTTCAATAAAGATGTATCAACTCAATTTTTTAGATTTTCCTGTAGCTCTGATTCTGTCTAATATTCAATTTTTGCAATTATCTAGGATTTTTTCCTATGTGTCAGTCCATGGCAGGATAATGTTTTCAACATTACAGACAGGGAGTAGGGATATGAACAAGTCAGAAAGCATAGCTTTCACTCAAGACAAGAAGGCTAAATTTAATCATACCCAGTTTTATCACACTCAGTTAATTGTCCCCAGTTTCTGGGATTGGAGTTTGCTTTGATATTCTTCCTGAAATATTTAGCTACACATTGTTGATTTTGACAAAGGACCTAGGAAGTCTGCTGATCTTATGTCTAGAAAGCATGAGGCCAATCTGAAGTAATAACAGATGTTTTGGATGACAAAATTGGAATTCGAAATCACCTCAATGGATAATAATTTAGTATTAAGTTTCCAGATTGCTCAATAAAGCCTGATTTGGGAAGGGGTACAGATAAACATAAATTAATAGTTTTCTTTATATATGTATATCTGTGTATTTTTATAAGGGGAGTAGAGATTGGGGGTTACTAGTAACACATCTTTCTATAGAAATAAGAATTTGTTGTATTTCTTAAATATTTTAACCTATATAACTATTCTAAATAGATATACATATTTATAAATTATTAGTAAAATAAATTAACCAAATTATGGTTTTCATAGCTCAAAGACTATGAGTAAAATATATTTAAGTAAAATATATTTACTCAACATATTAAAAGTTGAAACTTAATAAATATATAATAAATACAAAAATAAGTCTATAGAAATAAGACATTTTGTTGAGAATACAATTATAATTAAATTTCACAATTAAGTTTTAGACTCCCATTTTGTTAGAAACATTTCAACTCTATAAATAACAATAACATGAAAAAAAACCAATAAAAACTTAAAATAAAGAATAAAACTGTGTACCATAAAGTTGCTTCAAAAATAAAAGTATAGAAATATTAATAGTGTTGATTATTTAGCTTTACTTAATGAACTTGAATTATTAGTGTTTTTATTTATATCTGTATCAATTGAATACCAAATTCTATTCATTATGTTCACAATTTTTAACGCCAATTCATCGATTTTGTTTATTTTAGTTAATTATATATTTTTATTTCTGCCATAGTGTTAGCCTTTAAAACAAAAAAATTTTAAAAACTTAGGCTTAGATTATATAAATTTTGAGTGGAGCTTTTTAAAATTAATTTACTCTAAATAGGTAAGAGCCTCAAATAGGGCAGCATATTTTTTAAAATACTACTGAGCATTTTATTATCAATTGAGTTATTCAATATAATTTTAATATACCAACTGCATTTGGTAAAAGGCACACCACAGCTGAGTGACAGGGCTCCTGGAAGGTAACTTGCTATAGTGAAAATACTAAGGTATTTGAAATAACAGGTATCTGGAGTAGAATCTGAGCCCTGCCACTTGTTCTATGTGATTTGTCCCAGTTATTTAACACTTTCATGCTAATTTGTTTATGTCAACAAAATGGGATAAGGCATATGTTGCAAAGTCAGAAGTGAAGATTAAGTCTGTCATTAAATTCCAATATTCAATAAATACACACATATTCCTAGCATAATTCTTTGAATATTTGGTTGCCCTAGAAATGCCCTTCTCTTACTTTTCTATGAAGTACAAAGTTAAAAGAAACAATAACTTTGGAAGAAATACCTAATGTAGGTGATGAGGGAATGGAGACAGCAAACCACCATGGCATGTGTATTCCTATGTAATAATCCTGCAAGATCTGCACATGTACTCCAGAACTTAAAGTATAAAAAAAAATAAAAAATTTATCTATATATCTATAGATATAGATATATAGATATAGATATATAATGTTCATTTTGTTTTGTTTGTTTTTTGGAAAGAACTTTGACTAGGAAAATGGATTGTCTTAAATTGATATCGTAAGAAGGAATATTTGATGATTCGGGTAATTTTGTCCTCAAATATTTTTAGATTCATTATGTGTTAAAGGGAAAACAACCCATATACATATGGTTGTTTGGTGACTATATATATATATATATATATAATTATATATAATTATATATTTATAATAATTGTGTATATAGATAGATAGATAATCACCAGAGGTAGATACCTGGCCAAAAAAGGGTGTTAAAAAGTAAAAATGTAAAAATGAAAATTTACATTTTAGTTCAATAAAGCACAGGATCCTATCACAAAGGACTGCTCTCAAACTGAAAAGGCATTATTGTAAAACAGAAGCTCACATGAGTGGAATTTTCAATTAGAAACTGATCATCATTTATCAGGAATACTATAGATAAAAATTACCTGGTAGTAGCAATAGGATGATATTGAAACTTTAAAAGCAAAATGGAAAGTTTTGGTCCAAATGATCAGAAGCAATTGCCAGCAACAACTGAATCAATATTAATTATAAGTAAAGGCAACATTAGGCAAAAATTTGAAAGATATTTACTATTTTCTAAATAATGTTCTTAGGCATCCCAAGCACTGCAGAACCTAACCACGGTCTTACAAGGGTTAACGATTGTGGTATTTGGTTGAAAAGATTTGAAAAGACTTTTCCTATGTGACTTTTTCCACCTCAGCATTTTCTAGCATTTAACCTCTCCCTCTTTTGTCCCTTTTCCTGGAGAAGTACCTGTAGATTGTTGTGAGTCTGATCACAATGACTCAAAGACTAACAAAGTCCACTTGAAGTATGAGGGAGATCTGTGGATCTTCAGAATATGATGAACTGTGTGGGCTTGAGGCTGATTTATGTTGGTTTTCCCTAACTCTCCTGCATCCCTAGTGGCCTTTTAGTTAACCAGGGTGTTTTTCATAGCTTGGATATTTGGGGGAACAAATCCCATGGTAAATCATTGAGGATAGCACATGTGGAAAACAGCAAATGTTTAGTAGTACTGTAAAAATGTTAGTGTATTGTAGGAAGTACACTGATTTGGTTTAGGAAATCCAGAAGGAGGAGTAGAGACTGAGAAATCATTTAGGATGAAAATTAAAGAAAGTCCGGAGCCATGGAAGGATTATATTGAAGGCAGAGTTGCTTGTATCTATAATGGCACACGAATTGCTATAGCTTGCTTCAAAATCAATAGTTTGTCATTTTCATTTCTAGTGACTTTGGAGGAGGACAGATGTAAGTACAAGAGAGGAGCCCTAGGGAACAAAAATAGGTTATACAATAAATAATAGGTTTAGGAAGAACTGAGTTTCAGAATGATTTCTTACAGGAATAAGAAATTAAACTTGTGAGTAGACCTAAAAAATTGGAGAAAATGTTGAGAACTCTTTGGTCAGAGAAGGTGGTGGTGTTTTAACACCTTAATGTTAATTTGGGCTGTATTTTTTCCCTATTATTTCCACAGTTCCTTGAAAATTTTAGGTCCTTAAATATTGTTGTATGAATAAATGCACCCACATACACTCATGGATGTGTGGGTGCATGAGCATGCATACACAAACACACACACACACACACACACACACACACACACACACACTCCATGTTTTTATCATTGACTCTGGACTCTAATCCTGGAATAGTGTTGCAAGGGATAGTGATAGTCATATAACATGTGAGATTATCAGAGTCTTTAAGCATGTCCCACAGCCTAAAGTATAATCAGGGTACTCAAATCTAATTCTTTCCATCATGGCTGTTGCCAACCTGAATCAAGTTGCTATCATATTGTCCTAGTAAACTTTATATCTACATTGTACTTTGTATTCTTTGCAGACTTTGTACTTAGCATTCTTTGTCTCAAACCCATTTACCTCATTGCAGTTACAATGGCGTCTTTTTTATATAAAGTATGCCACATATTTTATTGTAAATAGTTTCATTGTGTGTAAGTTGTAAAACATGATGTTTTGATATACACAGTGAAATGGTTACTACATTAAAGAAAATTAATGTCTATCATCTCACGTAGTTATTTTATTTATTTATTTATTTACTTATTTATTTATTTATTTGAGATGGAATCTTGCTGTTGTCACCTGAGCTGAAGTGCAATGGTGCAATCTTGGCTCACTGCTACCTCCGCCTCCCAGGTTCCAGCAATTCTCCTGCCTTAGCTTCCAGAATAGCTTAGATTACAGACATGCACCACCACACCTGGCTAATTTTTTTTATTCTTATTTTTTATTTTTAGTAGAGATGGGGTTTCATCCTGTTGGCCAGGCTGGTCTCAAACTCCTGACTTCAGATGATCCACCCTCCTTGGCCTTCCAAAGTGCTGGGATTACTGGAGTGAGCCACCATGTCTGGCCTACTTTATTTTTGCTAAGAGAACCTAAAATCTATTAGCTGAGTAAATTTTCATTATACAATGTTATATTATTAGTTATAGTCTTCAGGCTGAATATTAGCTCTCTATGCTTATTCATCTGATAAATCTGCAGCTTTGTACATCTTGACCTACATCTTCCCCTCATAACTCCATTCATTGCCACCCCTGTTTCTACTCTGTTTCTCTGTTTCTGGGAATTCATCTTTTTTTTTTTTAATTAAGATTCCACATATATTTAAGATATTGAAAGGGTTTGTTGTTGTTGTTGTTGTTGTTTATTTGTTTGTTTTCTGTGTCTGGCCTATTTAATTTAGAAATAACACATTATGTTCCACAAGCAGAGATGTCCATTCTCACCACTCCTATTTATCAAAGTTATGGAAGTCCTGACTAGAGCTTTCAGGCAAGAGAAAGAAATAACAGGCATTCAAATGGAAAAGAGGAAGTCAAA